TGGAAACATAGATTAAAAATTAATTGGAAACTAAATAATTTAATCCAAAAGAATGGATGGGTCAAAACACAAATCATAGAAGCAATCAATAATTTCATTAAAGAGAATGACAACCATCAGACAACATAACAAAATTTATGGGATGCAGCCAGAGCAGTACTTAGGGGAAATTTTAGCTCTAAATGCATACATCAATAAAATAGAGAAAGAGCAGATAAATGAATTGGGCATGCAACTAAAAAAGCTAGAAAAAGAACAAATTAAAAATCTCCAGTTAAACACCAAATTGAAAATCTTGAAAATCAAAGGAGAGATTAATAAAATTGAAAGAAATCATTGAACTAATAAATAAAACTAAGAGCTGGTGAAAAAAACAATAAAATAGATAAATCATTAGCTAATTTTATTTAAAAACAGAAAGAAGAAAACCAAATTGCCATTATCAAAAATGAAAAGGGTGAATTCACAGTCAATGAATTCATCACCAAAAGAGCAGTTATAAGGAGCTATTTTGTCCAATTAAATGTTAATAAATCTTAACAATTTAAGTGAAATGGATGAATATTTACAAAAATATAAATTGTCCAGACTAACAGAAGAGGAAACAGAATATTTGAATAATGCTATGTTAGAAAAAGAAATTGAACAAGCCATCAATGAGCACCCTAATAAAAAATCTCCATGACCAGATGGATTCACAAGTCATTTGAAGAACAATTATATAATACTATACTACATAGGCAAAGAAGGAATCCTTCCAAATTCCTTTTATGACACAAATATGATGCTTAAACCTAGCCAAAAAAAGCAAAAATAGAGAAAGAAAACTATAGACCAATTTCCTAATGAATAGTAATGCAAAAAAATTAAAGAAAATACTAGCAAGGAGATATATCACAAAGATCACACACTATGACCAGGTGGATTCATACCAGGAATGTAGGCTGGTTTAACATTAGGAAAACTATCAGCATAGTTGACCATATCAATAATAAAACCAACAGAAATCATATGATTATCTCAATAGATGCAGAAAAAGCTTTGGACAAAATACAACATTAATTCCTATTAAAAATACTAGAAAGCATAAGAATAAATGGAATTTTCCTTAAGATGATAAGTAGTATCTATCTAAAACCGTCATCAACCATTATCTGTAGTGCGCATAAGATAGAAACCTTCCCAATAAGATCAGGGGTGAAGCAAGGATGTCCATTATCACTACTATTAATCAATATTGTACTAAAAATTCTAACTATAGTAATAAAAGAAAAAAAAGAAACTGAAGGAATGAGAAAACAAAACAATCACTTTTTGCATATGATATGATGATATACTTAAATAATCCTGGAGAATCAACTAAAACAAAAAACTACTTGAAATAATTAACTTTAGCAAAGTTTCAAGACCTAAAACAAACCCACATAAATCATCAGCATTTCTATATATATTACCAACAAAGTCTAGCAGCAAGAAATAGAAAGAAGAATTCCATTTAAAATAACTGTAGGTGATATACTTGGGAGTCTACCTGTCAAGACAAACCCAAGAACTATACGAACACAATTACAAAATACTTTTCACACAAATAAAGTCAGATCTAAATAATTGGAAAAATATTAATGTCTGCTCTTGGGTAGGTAGAGCCAATAATAAAAATGATAATTCTACCTAAATTAATTAACTTATTCAGTGCCATAGCAAGCAGAATACCATAAAAGTATTTTATAGCACTAAAAAAAAAATAATGACAAAATACATTTGGAAGAACAAAAGGACAATAATATCAAGGGAAGCAATAGAAAAAATTGTGAAGGAGAATAGCCTAGCTGTACCAGATTTCAAACTGCATTATAAAACAGTAATCATCAAAACCAATCTGGTACTGGCTAAAAAATAGAGTGATGGACCAGTGGAATAGATTAGGTATATAATATACAATTGTAAATGACCACAGTAATCTAGTGTTTGATAAACCCAAATAACCAAGCTTTTGAGACATAAACTAACTATTTCACAAAAACTGCTGGAAAAATTGGAAAGCAATTGGGCAGAAACTAAATATAAATCAACATCTCACACCATATACCAAAATAAGGTCAAAATGTGTATATGATTTAGACATAAAGGGTGATACCTACAAGCAAATTAGGAGAGCAAGGAATAGTTTACCTGCCGGATCTATGGATAAGAAAAGAATTTATAACCAAGGAAAAGATAGAGAACATTACAATATGTAAAATGGATAATTTTGATTGTATTAAATTAAAAAGGCTTTGCACCAAAAAAAAACCAAACAAAAAAAAAACAAAACAATGCAGCCAAGATTAGAAGGAAAGCAAAAAGCTGGGGGGGGAAATTTTATAGCAAGTGTATTTGATAAAGGCCTCATTTCTCAAATATATAGAGAACTGAATCAAATTTATAAGAATACAAGTTATTCCCCAATTGATGAATGGTCAAAAAATAGGCACAGGTAGTTTTCAGATGAAGAAATCAAAAATATCTATAGTAATGAAAAAAATGCTCTAAATCACTATTGATTAGAAAAATACAAATTAAAACAACCCTGATGCACTGCCTCACACCTATCAGATTGGCTACTATGACAGAAAAGGCAAATGATAAGTGTTGGGAGGGATGTGCAAAAATCGGGACACTAATGCACTGTTGGTAGGGCTGTGAACTGATCCAACCATTCTAAGGAACAATTTGGAACTATGCCCAAAGGGCTACAAATCTGTGCATAACTTTAGACCCAGAAACACCACTAAGTCTTTATCTGAAAGAGGTAAAAAAACAAAAAAACAAAAAGGAAAAGGACCTACATGTACAAAAATATTTATAGTAGCTCTTTTCGTGATAGCAAAGAATTAGAAATTAAGGGATGCCCATCATTTGAGGAATGACAAAATCACTGGGGTTTATAATTGTAATGGAATACTATTTTGCTATAAGAAATAATGAACAGGATTCTTTCAAAAAAACCTGAAAGAACTTACATGAACAGAGTGAAGTGAGTAAAACCAAGAAAACATTGTACACAGGTACAGCAATATTGTATGACGATCAATTGTGAATGACTTAGCTTTTCTCAGCAATTCAGTGATTCAAAGGTCTCATATGAAAATATTATCCACCTCCAGAGAAAGAACTCAAGGAGTCTGAATGCATATTGAAGCATACTATTTTTTGCTTTTTTTATATTTTGTTGGTCTCTTCTTTCACACAACATGAATAATATAGATCATGATTATATATGTATAACCTATATCAAATTGCTTTCTGTCTCAGGGAAGAGGGGGAAGAGGAAGGGAGGAAATCTGGAGCTAAATTTTTTTTAAATGTTAAAAATTGTTTTTATATGTAATTTAAAAAAATAAAATGTTATTCAAAAAAAAAGAAAAAGAAAAAGAAGAGAAGAGAAAAAGAAAATGCGTGGGGTTGGGAGGAGGAGTCACTTGTGTTAGGAACAGCAAAGAGGCCAATGTCATTTAATCACAGAGTAAGAAGGCAGGAAAGGTAGAAAGGGCCAGGTAATGAAGGGCTTTGAACATCAAATTTAAATTTGATCCTGGAGATAAATGGAAGTCACTGGAGTTTACTGAGTGGGGCAGGAGAAGGTGGGTGACGTAATCAGACCTGTGCTTTAGAGAGACAAGTGGAGTGAGTGGAGGGTAGACTGAACGGGCGGGGGGAGAGTTTGAGGCAGGGAGCCAAATAGCTATTACAACAGTCCAAGTGTGAGGTGATGCTGCCTGCACTAGGTTGGTGTCAGTGTGAGAGGAGAGAAGGGGATATACAGAAGAGCTATCATAAAGGTAAAACTGATAAGCCTGCCAACAAATTGGATAGGTGGTAGGGATGGGTGCGGAATCAAGGATGACAGCTAGGGTATAAACGTGAGTGACCAGAAGGACAGTAAGTGCACTTGATAGTAAGAGGAAAGTTTAGAAGGGGGTAAGGGTTTTGGGAGAAAGATGATTAGTTCATTTGTGGATATGCTGGAGTTTAAGATGTACACAGGTCATCCAGTTTGAAATTCATGGGAACTGATGAGATCATGAAGTCAAATAGTATACAGAAGGGGAGGAGAAGAGGGCCCAGGACAGAGTTCTGTCAGACACCCATGGATAGCAGGTATGACCTGGATAAAGATCCAGCAAAGGAGGGTGAGAAAGAGCAGTCAGATAAGTAAGAGGAGAACCAAGAGAAATGTAGTATCTTTTCTTGTTTCTCTCTAGTGACATTCTCCCTCCTCTAAAAGCATCTCAGGGACTGTGATTAGGGTTCATATGTGATGGTTCCACTATCTTTGATGGAGAAAATAATATGTTGAAATGCTTTTTGCAAATATTTTCCATTTTTCTTCTGTTTGTAGCCTGCTTTCCATGTTCATCCTTGAATTCCCTCAGTATGGATTTTCTTAGCTGGACTTCTTTACCAAGCTTTCTTTTAAATGGTTTTATGCCCTTTTTTCTTACTGCTTTATAAGATAATATTGCTCCACCTTCCTTTTTTACATGATTTTGCAAATGTTCATATTCTTATCTTGTGTTCTTTTCAGCTGTAATATTTTGTATATGTAGGTACAAATAGAATAACAAGTCCATTTTCTAGAGTATCATATACAGCATTTGTTCCGCTTTAGTACTTGCCTATTATGGAAATTATTCTTATTTAAAACATTTTTTAAATTAAAACACAGTATTCTAAAATACATGGTACATTGAAATCTTAGGGGCTCAGTGAAATTCTCAAATGAGAATTCAGACAGTCCCAAAATTTCCAAAGAATTGTCTTGTCCCATGTCCTTTGTTTTTTTCTAACTAAACAATTTCATATTGTAATTTTTAAAAATACGTCTCCTATTTGCAACAAGTATTCATGCACTGTATTATGATGATATTTCTAAGATAAAGGCCACCAAAGGTAAATCTCTTTTTTAAACCTTAGAAGATTTTGTCTAGATAGCTTTAGAAATATGCATTGATCTTTACATTTGGACGGGTGAGCGCCTGGGAAGGAGGAACCTGGTTGACTCTCCAGTTTATGGCACAGAAAAACTTCTGATAGTCGATGTGTTCCTGGCTGTCCTGAAACCTGAAAACATAAATTTCATATACAGATTAATTCCATAGTCAGAACTGAACTAAATGTCATCGTTAATTTTATCTTTAAAATACATTGCCATATATTGTTTAAATAAAGTTATAGACTAGCTGAAGAAAATCTAATCTTGTCTAAAGTTATTTCATTTTATGGAAACATAAATACATAAAGCAGACATTGTTAAAAACCTATTAGATGTTTAATTCAGTACTTTTTCCCTTAAATAATTCTGCAAAATACTTCCAATTTCATGTTTAAACAAGAACAACAAAGGACTGGTTTTTTTTTTTTTCAAAAAAACAGTTTAGGAAACAAATTAAAGAACTCTAGAGATGACAAGATCAATTTTTTCACAAACATTAAAAGTGATCAAATGGAATCCACTAAGCATATAAATTCAACATAAATGATTCTATTTGACCTCCCAATTATCCTTTATGGACCTTGTCTGTTTATGGTTATTTGCAAGCTGTCTCCCCCATTAGATTGTGAATCCCTTGAGAGCAGGCACTGTTTTTTTTTAATCTTTCTTTGTATACCCAGCACAAAGAAGGCACTTAAATGTTTATGGACTGACTCATTTTTAAGTTTTTGCATTCAGTCTCTGTGTCACTGTTATACTTTATCTGAAATGATGGTAATTTATAGCTTAATTCAATTCACCAGAAATTTACTGAAGGCCTACTATGTGCCAGGCATTGCTTTAGGTGTTGGAAATTATGGGACAAGAATAAAACTGTCTCTGACCTCAATCATATATAAACAGATACATTAACATAATACATGATCATTTCTTGGGAGAGGGCCCTAAGAAGTAAGGGAATCAGGACGGGCTCTTGTGGGTGGCACCACTGAAGCTGGGCCATGAAAGACCCCATGGGTTCTAAAGGCAGAGCAGAGGAGAGAAAGCATTCCAGGGGTGGGAGATAGCCAATGCAAAGAGGGACAACCAAGTAGGCCAGTTTGGTAGAAACACAGAGTGTAAAAAAAAGGGGCAATGCATAATGAGCCTGGAAATATAGCTGTTGTTCAGTTGTTTCAGTCATGTCCAACTCTTTGCAAATCCATTTGTAATTTAATTAGCAGAAATACTGGAGCAATTTGACATTTCCTTCTCCAGTTCATTTTACAGGTGAGAAAACTGAGGCAAACAGGGTTAAGTGACTTGCCCAGAGGCACACAGCTAGTCAGTGTCTGAGGTCAGATTTGAACTCAGTATGATGAGTCTTCCTAACTCTAGGCCCTGAATTCTATTCACTGTGCCGTCTGGCTGCCCTGGAAATATTGGCTGGAGCTCAATTGTGAGAGGTTTTAAATAGTAGACAGAAGCTTGCATTTTCTCATAGAGACAATGAGGATTGCTTCCTGAGCAGTGGAGTGATATGGTCTAGTCTGTGCTTTTGGAATATCTGGGACTGTGGAAAAAGAGTACCAGTTCTGGAGTCAGAGCACCTGGGTTCAAATCTTGCCTTTGACACTTGCTGTGTGACTTCAGTCATATCACTTTACCACCGTGGGCCTTATGATCCTCATCTATAAAATAAGGGAATTGGATAAATGGCCTGCCAGGTCCATTCTGGCTCTAGATATGTGATGCCATGGACTTGGTGGTTATGTGGATTGGATAGGGGTGAGACCCGGAGGCCGGGAGACCATTTAGGAGGCTACTGCAATTATCCAGATGAGAATGGATGAGGTTCTGAACTAGAATGATGTCCACATATGTAGCAAGAAGGAGATGGATGAGGGAAATGTTGTGTAGGTACAATCAATAAGGCTTGACAGCTATTTGGATATGGGAACTAAGTAAAAATGAAGAATGCAGAGTGACTCCTGGGTTGAAAATTTGACTTACTAGAAGAATTATGGTGCCTTGATGGAAATTGAGAAACTGGGAGAAGGGGTGGGGTTTAGGGAAAAGATGAGTTCTGTTTTTGACATGATGAGTTTGAGATGCCTGTGGGACATTTGCGTGGTAATGACCATCAAGCGGTTAAAGACATGGAGCTGGCATTCAGGAGAGAGAGTAGGGTCGGATTTCTATATTTGGAAGTCATCTTCATAGAAATCATAATTGAAACCATATAAAATTATGAAATTTACAAGAGAATGATTCAAAGACGGAAGAAAACACAGGGGAGAGTCCTGAAGTGCTCTCACATATGGGGCCATGACATAGATAATGATCGTGCAAAGAAAACTGGGAAGGATTATTCAAGTAGGGGGAGAAAAAGGGGGAGAGCTCTTTCAGTAAAAAATCTAGGGAGGAGTGAGTAACCAGGAGAAGGATACTTTCCTCTCCTGGCTGCATGCTGGACTTTATCCTGAATATTCACTCCAGCCATGAATTTCATACATTGGAAGTATAAAGCACAGAATTAGGGAGAAGAAAATGATTTGATGAAACAATAAGAACTGTCTCCTAACCTAAGAAATTAACAATCATCAGTTTATTTTTTCATTAAACTATTTGTTTGGCATAGTAGATGTCATGAGGATAATGGCTAAAAGTGAATTTGAATGAATATTGGGACATTAATGCACTGTCAGGAGAATTGTGAACTGATTCAACCTTTCTGGAGAGCAATTTGGAACTATGCCCAAAGGACTATAAAGCTATGCACACCCTTTCACCCAGAAATACCACTACTAGGTCTGCATCCCAAAGAGATTTTTAAAAAATTAGGAAAAGAAACTATATGCATAGAAGTATTAATAGTAGTTCTTTTTGTGCTGGTAAAAAAAATTGTAATTTGAGGGATATTCATCAATTGGGGAATGGCTGAACAAGTTGTGGTATATGATTGTTACGGAATATTATTGCACTATAAGAAGTGATGAGCAGGCAGATTTCAGAAAAATCTTTAAAGACTTACATGAACCGACGCAGAGTGAAGTGAACAGAATCAGGAGAACATAACATTGCACACAGTAACAACAATAGTGTACAATGATCAATTGTGAATGGCAGCTATTCTCAGCAATGCAATGATGTAAGACAATTCCTAAGACATGATGAAAAATGCCATCCAGAGAAAAAACTGATGGAGTCCGAATTCAGATCAAAGCATATTTTTTTAAATTTATTTTTCTTGGACTTTTTTTGGTCTGTATTTTCTTTCACAACATGACTAATATGTGAATGTGTTTTACACGACTGAACATACATAACCTGTATCAAATTGCTTGCCCTTTCAGAGAGTGGGAAGGGAAGGGACAAAGGGAGAGAATTTGAAACTCAAAATTTTTAAAAATGAATGTGAAAAATTGTTTTTACATGTATTTGAAAAAATAAAATATTCAAGTACTGATATTATTTCATTAACTATGATGCCTTTAAACATAATTTGTTGGGCATCTCTTAATCCATAACATTTCTTTATTATGTTCATTGTTTTCTTCTGTTTACTTTTACTTCTGTTATTTTTAGCCTCAATTCTTGTATTATAATTGTTTTGGGGCCAGTTCTTTTTGGTATTCTTGGATGAGTTGTGTAAGCTTTGTTTAGCTCTGTTTCTTCTGTAGTCAGGATTCTACTGCCACTGCAAACTGGGTGGGTTGGACAGTATTAAGACCCCATTTTCTGCCTCAATTCCTGATTTCCATGTCAGGCTTCCAGTGGTCTTCTGCTGATCCTGGCTTTGGCCTGTCTGACTTTTTCTTCTTGCATGATCCCCAAATGAGAGTGGGTTGTGTCTATTCCTGTGGGTCTTGTCAGATCCCCATGGGATATTGAGGGTCATTCTGGTTCCAGGCCTTCTGCAAAGTCCCTCTGTCTTTCCTCTCCCCTATGCTGATCTCCAGGTGTTTAATTGGACCTCTCCTTCTGTAGATCTCGGTGGTCTGAGGAGTACACAGCCAGGTCCCATCTCCTTCCACAGTAACATAGTGGGGCTGGTTTTCTTTCCCATTTTTAGTCTGCCAGGCCAGGCCCAGGATTTGGCTTCAAGGCCCCAATAACCTGAGCTCATGTTGGCTTGTGACATCCCCCCTCTCTTTCCAGCCTGATTCAAAGAGCTGATTGGTTTCAGGACCATTTGCAAGATATTTCACTGGTTTCCTTGACTCAGTTTCCCTCCTTACCTCCACTGACTTCCATGATTTCCCCTGATACCTCTTCCCTTCTCCAGTAGTTTTTCTTTACAGGTCTGGAGTGGATGAAGAAGCTTACTTTTGTTTCTTTTCAGTTTTCTTTATCTGAACTCTTTTTCATATATTTGTTGGGGTTTATCTGGTATAGAATTGGTTCTCTAAAACCTTTCAAGTTGCCATCTTAACCAGAAGTCCTTGGGGGAGAAATAATGTTTTTATCCTCTTCTGTGGTGCAGGCCCTCATGCCTGGATTATTGCAAAAGCCTGCTTGGGGGTTTGCCTGCTTCAAATCTCTCCCCTTTCCAATCCATCCCTCATTTAGCCAATAAGTGATTTTCCTAAAGCACAGATCCAATCATGGCACCAACATCCCTCCCCTCACTCCGTAAACTCCAGTGGGTTCCTATTACCTCCACAATCAAATACAAAATCCTATTTGGAGTTCAAAGCCTTCCATAACCTAGCCCCCTTCCATCTTTCTGGTTTTCTCACATCTTACTCCCTGCCAAGTACTCTTTGAACCAATGCTATTGGCCTCCTGGCTGTTCCACAAACTGAACACTCTGTCTCTTGGCCCTAGGCATTTTCACTGACTATACCCCATCATTAGACTACTCTCCCTCCTCATCTCCACCTACTGCCTTCCTTGATTTTCTTTTAGACCCAACTAAATCCTACCTACTATAAGCCTTTCCCAGCTCTTAGTTTTAGTGTCTTCCCTCTCCATTATTTCCTATTTATATTATATATAGTTTGTTTGTACATTATTTGTTTGCACGTTGTTTTCTCCCATTAGATTATGCACTCCTTAAAAGAGGGGACTATCTTTTGCCTCTTTTTGTATCTTAGCACAGTGCCTGGTACATAGTAAGCATTTAATAAATATTTATTATTTATTC